CACCAAAATTTGACAGGCAGGCAGAATAAAGTCCATCGGGAGACAGATTAAGTACCGGTGGTATCACAGAAACCAAAGTCAAGTGAAGGAGAAACCCAGAAAGGCAGTGGCTAAAATTTGATTAGGCAGTTAGAAGCCCACTGTTCCCCTTTCCCTGAGCAGTTGCAATAGGAACAAAACCATGTCTCTGATTCATTAAGAGTTGAAGTAATGGAGGCAGTGGAAGTAAACTAATTTTTCTAGCAGCTTATCAGAAAATGAGGAAAGAGGAAAAGAGGCAGGGTAATAACTAGAGAGAGAGGGGCAGCAGTTAAGAGAGTCCTGACTAATACCATTGTACTTAAGTGAAAATGCTGAAAAACTTAAGATATAGGGTATAATGGATGAGAAATTCCTAGATAAAGCTCAAGAGATTTGTGGGTGGAGGCAGAGGTTAAGTTTTTGAAAATAGACAAGTACATATGCTGTGGCCATGGGTGACGACAAATGATATGGAAATAAAATGGAAGAGAAGTAGAAGGTATTCTTTTGATTTTTACTAGGGATTACGACATTGCCAATGGCAGGACTTGCTAAAAAGGGACACTGAGCTGGATGGCAAAGCTTTAAATAAATGTAACAAAAACCAGGGATGCGAGGGTGGTAGAGGCTCTTCATACGTTTTACTTAAATAACTCTGAAGTTTTTTTTTTTTAATTTTTAAAGATTTACTTATACATGCAGAACTGGGGTACAGGCTAGAGACACCAGGGTTAAGAGGATGCACCAGAGACAGAGTGGGGAGCAGAAAGGGCAGATACACTGAAATACACTGCTGAAGGGAGCAGTACATGAGGCAGGAGAGGTCTGCTGCACCATGTGGGTCACCACCCTGGCCAGGGATCAAACTCATGCTGCAATGAGTGAGATAGCTTCATAGTGCTGTGCTTAACCTGTTGTGCCATCAGGGAGGGCCTAAGGTTTTACATTGTTGTAAGGTCTCCTCCCTTTCTACTTTTTCTGTTAAATATTCTCTCCTGCTACACTGTGACAGTCTCTCCCAATCAATTTCCCCCTTTTGTTTTCAGCCTACATTTTATTCTCTCAAGCTGTCATTTTTCTCCCCTCATGTCTGTAATGTACCCATTACACATGTAATGTAACATAATGCAGTTTCACCCTCAAGCTTCAGGTATATGTGGAACTTCAGAATGTGATCTTATTTAGAAATAGTCTTTGCAGAGGTAATCAAGTTAAGGAGCTCAAAACATCCTGGATTTAGGGTAGATATAATGACTTTGTACTTACATAAGAGGACACACAAAGTGTAAGCCATAGGAGGAAAAGAGGCAGAGATGTACTACCATATGTGAATAAATTCCGGAAGCCTCCAGAAGTTGAAAGGCTCTTAGAGCCTTAAGAGCAAGCATGGTCCTTCTAACACTTGATTTCAGAATTCTGGCTTCCAAAGCTGTGAGAGTATAAATTTCTGTTGTTTTATGTTTTCAAATTTGTTGGGTTTGGTCTTAGAAAACACACACCTAGACCTCTCACAAAATACTTACTCCTTACTATTCAACTAAATGTCTTTTTGGAAAAAAAACTATACTGATCCTTAATATACCTCTCTCCTTTAAACACAGAAGTCCTTAATGGCAGGCCCCATCTGATTGATTTTTAAAATCACGGTACAAAGCAATATTAGTTACTTAATGTTTGATGAGTCTCCTAGGTTAGAATAAAACCTTCTTGAAGACACTGTCAAAATATTTAAGGGAATACAGCTAATTAGATTAACACTGACCAGATCTAGTAAATTAAAACAGTTCTACCATCAAGAAAAAAAAAAAGTTGTGGAACTTTGTGCCTCTCTTCTTGACTTAAATTTTCCTCATAGCTCACTTCAAAAGAAGAATCACAACCACAGTCCAAGTCATCCTTATTCCAAGTCCCAATAAAGAGGATTTTAGTTATTATTGTCAACAAGCCCATTAATTAATCATAATTTGGACAGTGAAAGCTTCCATAAAACACATTAGTGTCTTTGCTTGTTATTTAAGTTGGAAAATTAGGGAATATTCACATTTTATTTAATTAGTGAGAACTAAGATTGGAAGAATATATTTTCAAAAGACACAAAAGCTTATCATCTGAAATGTATGAAGAATGTTTAAAACTCAACAGCCAAAATATTTTTAGAAATAGGCTAAAGAACTTACCAGATACCTCCCAAAGGAAGCTCCACATCATTTGTCATCAAGGTAATGGAAATTAAAAAGAAATTCCATTACATGTCAACTAAAATGCTCAGAGTTCAGAACACTTTGAGACTGCCAAATGCTAGTGAAAATGTAAAGCAATAAGAAATCTTACTCACTGCTAGGGGGAATGCAGAAACACTGCAGTCACTTCAGAAAAGAGTTTGACAATTTCTTACAAAACTAAACAGACCCTTAGCATACAATTCCACAATGGCATACCTTACTATTTACCCAGGGAGGTTGAAAACTAATGTCCATACAAAATTCTGCACATGGATTTTTATAGTAGTTTTATTCATAATTGTCAACGCTTAGAAGCATGCAAGATGCCCTTCAGTAGATAAAAGGGTTAACTGGTAAATCCTACAATGGAGTATCATCAAGAGCTAAAAAGAATGAGCTATCAAGCCATTAAAAAGACATGGCTGTGGGCCCTCCCTGGTGGCGCAGCAGGATAAAGCACAGCACTGAGAAGCTAAAGCCACTTCCACATGAGTTCGATTCCCGCCTGCCCCAGAAGTGACCACATGGTGTGGCAGACCTCTCCTGACCCACCCACTGCTCCCCTCAGCAGTGTACTTCCTTGATCTGCCTGTTCTGCTCCCCATTCTGTCTCTGGTGAAGCCTCTCGCCACCCCCTGAGCCTCTGGCCTGTACCCCAGCACAAATAAATAATTCTTAAAAAAAAAAAGACATGGCTGAACCATAAACTACTTATTAATTGAATAAAAAGATCAGTGAGGTTGACAGGGTTAGGGGGAGGGAAAGATGAATAGGCAAAAGCATGGATAGGATAATTTTTAGTAGCAATGAAACTGATAATATAATAGTGGATAATGTCATGACTCTTATTCTTGACAAGGCTAAGGGATGTTCAGATAGCTTGTATAACATTTCTGGCATAGTAGAAGACTGAGTATAAACCACCCAACCTCACCAAAATAGGTATCACCCAACTGAGGGCCATAACAGAACAAACTCTTGGTTTTTGAAAGGGTGCATCCATCTTCTCTGGTCTCAGACACTGAGTTCTTGGTTCTCCTACCAGAATTGCATCAGCAAGCACATCTCCACCCCTAAGTCCATAGGCCTTCAGTATACAGGCAAAAAGACATAACTCAGCCTTCACAATTCTGTCTCTTCACATACATTCATAGGTATCTATAGACTCTATTGGTTGGTTTCTCTAGTGACCAATGACTACTGTGTGGTATAAATCATAAAGTGTAGACCACCAACAGTAGATCTTAACTGAAAAATAAAGCTTATTTTAAAAAAAGCTACTAAGATACTATGAGATTTCACATCTAATTCCATATGGGAAATTTTCTCACATTTAGACTCTCAATACCTCCTTTTCTTACTCATTATTTTTACTTATTTTCTCATTTCATTTAAATAGAAGTACTTACCAAGGTGCTTGGTTTCTATGCTTTTAATTCTGGAGGCTCAAAGTGGTTTTCCTACTAAGTGTTACTTACAAAGATTCACTTGCAACCTTCAGAGTGTAACTGTTAGGTTATCTTTATCTTCTACAGCAAGGAGTACTAATTAATCCTATTTGTCTTCAATCACTACTCAACACAAAAGCCAGATTTCTTATTGCACTTCATTATTTTTCTTTTACCAGCACTTCAAAATTGATTTTTGTGTATGTGTGTAATCTCATTGCACAGATTTCATTTTAATTCTATAGTAGTTGTTTCAATGAAGGTCAAATCAGCTCTTGTGGTCTAAACTCATAACTGAATTTTGTGCTCCAAAATTCAAACTCGTCAAAACTAAATATTAATGCTATGAATCTATTATCTCCACTTTTTAACTCGAGTTAATAATCCACCTTGGTTTCCCAAACACCTGAAACTCTTCAATTAAGATACAAGACAGTTTCCTTTAATTGAACCAGCAAGACGAAAGCAGAGTCACACTCACATCCAGTGCCGGGTGCTGGTCCCAGACTAGTGGTTTCATTTAGTTACATTTCATGAAAGAAATGTCTCTTAACCAGAGACATTTTTCTATTATTATGCGATCTAAATAGCACTGTCTTGTTTTCTGAGGAGAGGTGAAGAGACTAGCATCTTCCTGGGTTTTCTTTAAATCATCTCGATTTAAGAACAGAAATGTTTCCATTGTAAAGGACAGCATAGCTAAAAATCTAAGTCAATAAGAGACAGCTGCCAAGTTAACAGCAAGATGATTCTAAAAATCAGCATTTAAAAAAATCAAGTTTGAAAACTAAATCTGAAGTCTAGGTTCTAGCCAATGGCAAGGCATGTGAGGATCAGAAGAGGTCCAGAGAGACCCCCAAAGTATTGGGGTTTAATGTTCCTAAATCAGTAACACGAGAGAGAGTTGACAGAACGCTCGTGTAAATACACTCTGTGAAGGGCTTTTACTTTCAGAAAGTGATGGATAAAACTACTTGGAGGGGAGTAGGTGACCTCGCTTTTGGAAAACATTACCCCCTTGGGGCCCAAATCTTCCTTCTGCTACGCGGAGCAGAAACTGAGTGTGACGTGAGTGCAGGGAACTCACTGGAGACGGAAAGCCTAGCGGGAGGGGACAGGTAGCGGAGGAGGTCCCCCGGGGTGGCCCGCGTTCTCCCCGGGAGAGGAGGAGGGGATGCAGGCTTCGGGACGCCGTAGCCAGCCGGGGCAGAGGAGGAGCTTGGGGAGGGCAGCGAGGCAGCGCGGGTATTCAGCGGCGAGAGCTAGCAGGCGCCGCGGGAGGCGAAGACGCCTGGACCCAGAGACTCACCCGCGGGGCGCACGGGCTGGATTGGCCGCCACTTCAAGACCCTTTCGCTTAGCACCACGTCGCAGCTGTCCCTTCCGATCTCGAAGATGCCCCGGAGCAGGATCTGCCCTGCAGCCTCCTCCGGCAGCTGCCGGGACGCCCACTGCGCAGAGGGCATGGCGGCCGCCGCCGGGGGCGCCCCATCCCCCCGGTCTCCCTCCAGAACGTTCACCCGGCTTCCGCGCCGCCCACGGGGCATGGCAGAGCCGCAGGTTGGGCGGGAAGCTGGGGTCCGGGAAGGCCTTGAGAGGAGGCGGCCGAGGCCCTGGCAGCGCGGCTCCGGCGGCGTTCGGCGCTGCCACAGCAACAGTGCGCCCGGCAGAGACCCAACAGGGAGGCGGGGCGGGCAGGCGGGGCTGCCCGAACCTAGTCGGGCACCTCGGGCCGCCAGTCTCCAGTCTGCCCCCACACTGCATAGGACCCCAGTTCTAGAAAGGGAGTAGGGGCCCCCTCCGCCTGACACTAACTGCTCAGAGGAAGTTAGCTCTGCGTTCCCCGCAGTTTAATAGGATAACTCTTCCCAAACTTGAGTACTCACCATCTAGGCGTCTTGTTACAATGCAGATTTTTAATGAATACGTCTGGGGAAGAAAAAACCCGAATTCTGTATTTCAGAATACAGAGCCAGGTGATGGCTTTGCCTATGCCGTGCTCTGATAGCAGAGCACACGTTGCGTTGCAGTAGTTTCTTACACCTCCTTTCCACCGGGCTTTCTGGAGAAGAGTTCCGGCTTTATGACCGAGAGTCCTCGTTAGTTATCTGAATTCCGTGCAGCTGGTATGGAGTGCGAGCTGACTTTCAAAAGCCTTGAGAGGGAGCCAAAGATAAATCCCTGGTTTACATAGATAGATTTTTATCTGGCAAATTTAATATGAGGAATGGTCTTCATGAAGTATTGAGGGTCCCACTTCCCTCCCCCCCCCACCCCCCAAGATATCTCCTCTCAGTCTTACCTACTTCTGGAAATAGACTATAAGCAGCAGGGCTTCTCCTGTTACCTAAAAATGGAGAGCCACAGGCAGGGTTCACCCTGACTCTTCTGATAATTGAGACCCATTTCGTCTTGGAATGCACAGGTCTGTGGGCCACTGCCTCAATCACTCCAACTGCACCTTAGTTACCCCAGGATATTTTAAAATTCCAGATGCCCTTACTACACTCCAAGACAATAAAGTTGCGTTCTCTAGGGATGAGACCCAGACTTCAGGATTTGTTAAAGCTCCCCAGGTGATTTCAGTGTTCAGTCTGGGCTAAGCTTAACTGCTCCAAGTAGCATATTAACAGGGAGCTGACTGGCTCCCAGGGTGCAGAACAATCAAGGAGAACGTCAGTTTTGAAGAGGGGCAGAGTTCTGGGAAAAGGGGGTAAATTGGAAAGCTTCCTTTTTATAAGGTTAGGATAATTTTGCTTTAAAAAGTTAGGGAAGACAGTTTAAAAAAGAAATAAGCGGCCCTCCCTGGTGGCGCAGCGGGTTAAAGCACAGCACTGAGAATCTAAAGCCGTTTCCTCATGAGTTCGATCCCCTCCTGTCCCGGAGGTGGCCACATGGTCTGGCAGACTTTTACTGGTCTGCCCGCTGCTCCCCTCAGCAGTGTACTTCTTC